CAGCATAAGCCATGCAGAGCGCAGATGAAGTTTGACGGATGTAGCAACAGTAACTAAGGGGGGCGGGGCTTAGCCAAAGGTGAATTGATCTCCGTCCATATTAAAACGACTGAAAACGCGGATCACGTGACCATTCACCAACACTGGGCATGCACGTGCCGGTGTAACCAGTGGTTGGCGAATCAGGGAAGGACACGTCATGACTGATAACACCCAATCATAGAGCTGAGCGACAGCATCTGTGTCAGCGTTTCTGAAATTTTGTCTAGTCTAAGTCTACACTAAGGCCCCGTCCACACTACTGCGTTTTCGTTTAAAAACGGAGAATTAAAACGAAAACGATCTCCGTCCACACCAGCGTTTTACCTGCGTATTAGAATTTATCTCCGTCCACACTAAAACGACTGAAAACGTGGATCACGTGACCATTCACCAACACTGGGCATGCGCGCGCCGGTGTAAACAGTGGTTGGCGAATCAGGGAAAGATACGTCATGACTGATAACACCCAATCATAGAGCCGAGCGTCAGCCTCTGCGTCATCGTTTGTAAACTCCTCCGTTTTGTCTCGTCCACAGTAAAACGCCCTCCGGAGATTCAAAACGCAAAACGCAGCTGCAGCGTTTCTAAACTTCTCCGTTTTAGGTCTTCGTTTTTCCCGTTTTAGTGTGGACGGGAGGTGCAAACGTAGCAAAAGGTCTCCGTTTTTTAACGAAAACGCAGTAGTGTGGACGGGGCCTAAAACGCCCTCCGGAGATTCAAAACGCAAAACGGAGCTGCAGCGTTTCTAAACTTCTCAGTTTTAGGTCTTCGTTTTTCCCGTTTTTGTGTGGACGGGAGGTGCAAACGTAGCAAAAGGTCTCCGTTTTTAAACGAAAACGCAGTAGTGTGGACGGGGCCTGAGAAAAAAACAATACTCTAGTAGAGTACAGATACAGCCTTTTAGTACTTAAGTACAGTACTTAAGTAGTGCTACTTCGTTACTATACATCTCTGAATATATGTAGCCTAAGTTGATGAATATATGCTACTTAATGGTTCTAATCTAGAACTATGCAAAAAAAAAAAAAAAAAAAAACTCTCATCAATGAGGTGTTGTCGCTTAATTTGTTTACCTGAACACATTTTTTTTTGTAAGGCACATTAGTAAAGCTGCGTTTGAAAAACAAAGTGATATTTAAAATAATTATATTAATTGGCGGAACCCTTATCAGCAATGAGAGAACCTGTTACTGCAAAATATCTCCCTTGTCAAACAGGGTTTTTAATAGTTTGCATCACCTCTATGTGAACCATGTCAAAATATGATTACAGATTGTCTAATATTTTCCATCATTACAAACAATTCAACTCACAACTATTAGCGAGGCACTTAGTAACGTGCGGTGAAATCTTGTCATGGGTAGGCTGTGACCTATCATTGTGGCATATTCACCGGGGCGTAATTTGAGTGTGGGGCATGTCCCCACCACTTTTTGCCAGGGTCGATATTGGCCGGCAGGTACTTCCCTGGAGGTACTTCCCATGGCCATGGATCGTTTAGGGAAACTTTCACTGTAATAAACATTCGTGTATAATCTCTTTGGAATCCTTACTTTGTAATAGTAGAAGTGTCTCGCCCACACTTTTCCAGTCCTCCTACTGGGCTGAGTGGGCTCAAATTCCTTGCATCGGGAGAATCTGTTCACAGTAAAAACATGGTTGAGCTAAAAATAATCAGAGTCAGAGTGAGATATTATAGTCAGAGGCACCCTGGCAAATCACTGACACCAAACTTGTCAAAACAATAGACTTAATAAGACAAAATCACCTGCATCAGCCACTGAAAAAAAAAAAAAAAAAAAAACATTGTTCAAAGATTAGCCTGCACAACAAACATATAAAATGAGAAGAAATTACATTACAAACACTTTTATCCAAATTGACTTAAAATAGAGGAACAAAAGCAATTTATCATTAAAATAGAGGAACAAAAGCAATTTATCATAGAACCAACAATAATCAAATCCAGGTGGAGGTTTTACAGCTAATCACACTGGTGACTTTTTGAAAAGATTATAATTTGATAAAGTAATTTTTTGATCTAAAGATGATCAGTTTTTGTGAAATTTGACACATTTTCTTTAAGTAGTTTGAAACATAGTTTTTGAATCCTGCAATAAAAAAATAAAAAAAAAACAGAAATGTGCAGAAAATCATGGCCTGATTGTTTGATGTACCAGTAGTGATTTTACATGACAGCACCTGCTAATCTAAAATCAAAGGTAAATGGGTGGTTTATGGATTGCATCACCTCTCCATGCACATTAAATAGTCATTAAATCATGCGTCAAAGTATGATACAGTTTGTAAATGCAGTTTTTATAAAATTTTCCATCATTACAAACAATACAAGCCAGCACCATTGTTCCTCAAGTGTTAAATATTATATTTTGTAAATGACAATGTACATTTTATAACCATTTGATTTATATAGAACAGAATCTTTTTCAAATTTTGTGTGAGATACATTATGTATAAAACATTATTAGAAAATCTCTTTTTCCTCACTTCCACACTGTCCACCGCTGGCAATGCCCTCAGGAGTGCGGAGGCGGGAGGGATCGCCTGACACACATCCTTTATAACCCTTCTTGACACACATCCTCACACAAAACTAGTGTCTATAATATATACAGTAATAACCACGGTCAACAGGTCAAAATGACATATAATACCCCCGGATCAAAACCAACTGTCAACATACAACATAACAACCCAGGTCAATAAGTCAAAACTATGTGTCAACTTGATATATAATACCCCTGGTCAACAGGTCAAAACCAACTGTCAACATATATAGGAACCCAGGTCAATAGGTCAAAAGTTAACCAAGTGTCAACTTGATATATAATAATGATATATGGTCAGCTTGACACAAGGTGTCGGTTATAACTACTTTTCTTGTTTGTTGTGAACATTTGTTGATGTTATCTAATTAATTTGTGATTTGATTCTTAACTCTGAATGCTCGACACTTGACAGTTGCTTGCTTTTATCAGCTATAGGATCTTTAGTTTTCTCTCTCAGAACGGTAAATATGTCACTCCAACAGAAGAGGATATGGCAGTAAAGGTTAGATAAGGTCATCATAGGTTTGATTCTTGGGGAATGCATGAACTGATCAAATGTAAACCTTGATTGTGTGGCGCTTTTGGATAAAAACATCTGACAAATTCACAAATATAATTCATTGCTCATATCTAAACTTATAGTAAAATCATTAGGCTTTGGCTTATACTAAAACTGAAATCATTCGGCAAATGTGACCCTGGAACACAAAAGGAGTCTTATGTGTCCCTTTTATAAGATTGAGATTTGTGCATCACATGAAAGATGAATTAATAAGCTTTCCATTGATGTATGATTTGTTAGGATAGGATAAAATGTGGCTGAGAGACTACTATTTGGAAACGTGAATCTAAGGGCGCAAAAAAAAAATCGCCTTTAAAGGTTTTCATTTCTTTTGGCGATTGTGGTGCATCCACATACAAAAATTAATTTTTTACATATTTAAGGTTGGAAATTTACTAAATATCTTCATGGATCATGACCTTTACTTAATATCCTAATGATTTTTGGCGTAAAAGAAAAATCGATAATTTTGACCCGTACAGTGTTTTTATTGGCTATTGACACAAATATATGTGCTACTTCTGACTGGTTTTGTGGTCCAGCGTCACAAATTGCTTATAAAATCTATAAATATCTATTGGCATAAATTCAGATAATCTCTGTGCGGCTACTGGAGTATGTGATGATGAGAAAGAGAAAGAAAAACAAAGTTTCCAGATAGTCATCTTTTGTTAGTATCACAGGTGTGTTTATTTATTCCAGTTTTCTTAGGAAAGAAAACACATTATTTCCAGGAATTCTAGCATTAGACAATTGCAGGTACAGACAGAACATCAAAAGTAAAAAAATCACTTTGATATAATAAAACAAATACAAAGTTGACATTTATTATTTTTGTTGCATTACTTCTTCATGTTTAAATAAGCTTGACTTAAAAATTAAAGCAGCATTTATCGGTGTTCAAGCAGTTCAGATCTTTAAGGCATTTAAGCACAAAAGCATCAAAAGACATTAAGTTGTATGTAGCAAGCATGATTTATCATGATATACTACATTTCAGTGTGATATTACATAATTAACCATGTTACAATATGATTTATCATAATTTACCATGTTAAAATATGATTAGTTCACACACTCATTTTCAACTTCAGGATCATAGTCATTTTTTACTAAATGTGGTTGTAAGATTGAATTGATAAAGTTATACTATGAATTATAGTTGAGTATTGTGAAAAAAAATAATTTAAACAGCAACGGGCAGTAAAACACCACTCATTGGCCACCTATAATCCGATCCTCACGAAACTTTGCGGAGAAACTTTGGTTGCTGTAGCGCCACCTATGGGCCAATAGGGCTCATACTTTGCATGCTTCCTAACCATGTTAGGACACATATGCTCATCGATTTTTGTGAAGTTGTGATTTTTTGGGGGGGATTTACGGGCTTTTGACTGAATTTTGCCACAGACCACTGTCTAAATGACCCTGTTACAGCCAACCAAATGCAAAATTTCAACTTTTTTTTCGATAATTATTGATCTAGAGAGTCCAGAGAATAGGCCTAGACTGGTTTGGTCCCGATTGGGCAAAAAACCAGGGACTAGTTCGCAAAAGTGGGTTTTGGACAAAAACTGAAATAACAAAAAAATTTTTGCTCCAAATGGAAATCCGAGATATACATCTTGTCCGTCTTGAGCCAGGGACATTGAAGCTAAGTCAAACGGTCTAGGAGTTATGAACAATTTAGTACTTTTGGTTGCTGTAGCGCCACCTATGGGCCAATCGGGCTCATACTCTGATAGCTTCTCCAAAATTTGAGGCCCTACCATCTGACAAAGTTTCAGAGCTCCAGCCCTTACGGTGCGTTTTAGGGGAATTTTTTCTTTCTTTCTAGCAAATACAATAGGTTTTCAGCACTTCGTGCTTGAACACCTAATAAAGGTGCCGTGAAGAACCACACAGGTTTTTATATACCATGCATTGACACAGGAAAAACATTTTTGCTTCCCTGAAGAACCGTTTTGTGAAAAGTTCTTCAAATAATCATTTTCTTAGTGCCATTTCTTCCAGATCAGTATCTGCACATTTATACATTCTCTTTAATGTGTTGTAAAATAATATAAAAAATAAAAATAAAATCTAGAAGTAACAAGACTTGACAAACATTACAATGCTGATTGCATTTAAAGTGTACATGAATTCAGTATAAATCATACCTCATAGGGATGTGCACTGGGCTTATTCAGAGCTGACAGTGATGATCGATAACCTACAGTATTAAATAGAAAGATTATATAGAGTTAGTAATTTGAGGTATAACAGTTAGTAATGTACAGATATAGTTTATGGCGTTCCTACTGCTTTTGTCTTTCTTGATCTTCTGAGATCTCATTTTCTAGACAGTAGCTGTTGTCATCATCATGTCTGTGACTCAAAAGCAGTAGTTTGTAGTTTGTTTTGGAAATGATTGTCATTATGATGATGATAACGATGATGATGATGATGACGATGATGATGAAACAGCCCACAACTACAGCGACTACAGTGTTCCTGGATCTTAGATCTCCTAATACGTGATTATCTCCTGTTCTTGCCCCAGGATTTCCTTCTTTCCTTGGCTCTGAAAAATTGCAATTAAACGCTTTAAATAATTGTTTAAATCACAAACTCAACTTCAGCATTTCAAACATCAGACAGATTCTCCTCACAAACATTTCTGATGAAAATGTTGCAAACGTTTATTGAAATAACATTATGATATACTGTACCTGTTGTGTTCACAGTGAATTCAGTTAGTTCCCATCCACAAACTGCTTGGATAAAGAATCTGAATTGTCCTGTCATTGCTGTAGTTGGAGTGAATCTGCATGTGAAGCTGTTTCTCTGTTCACAGGAGCCAGGAGGAAACTCTTCTCTACAGATTGTGGGGTCATTATATTTCTCAGGATATAGAAACTTATACAATGTAATGGAGCTTTGAGAGCACGTCAGAGAGACGCTGCAGGTGAAAGTTACTTCTTCACCCACAGTTCCAGTCACATTCTTACAGCTTAAACTGATGTCATCTGAAAAATAACAATGCATATCATATAATACAGCAACTGACAATAATAAAAATAGTTTTATATATATATATATATATAGTTTAGTAAATAGTTTTTTGTGTTTTGAACACATCCAGACATTATGTGTCTTTGTCCATGTGAATCATATAATAAGCATTGATTCATTAGAGAGATGTGTTTTGTACAGTACATTAGAGCAGGATTTTATATCTGCGGGTCACATATTTTATTATTTATATGAATTATAGCTTATATTCAATAGCAATTTACACACTACAGCATACTCATAACACACTTTAGACTTCAAAATTAAGAAATTAATAATAAGTTTTGACCTTTTTTCTTCATGATCTTAGATTTAGTCCCTCCTCATTATTTGCGCACAGTCTTTCTAGGGGAAAGTTTATTCTCTTACCGTCAGCTTGACAGACAGCAGTAAAAGTCCAAACTACAATGAACAGTTGAACTGCATTCACAGCATTCATGGTTTTCATTCTGCAATAGGAAAAAAATGACATAAATTTGCATTAAGAGTGAAACTTAAACAACTAGGACTAATAAGAAAGTTAAATTAGATAAATTATCATCAGGATTTATCAGGATTAAATCAATTAATAAATGTTTAGATTAAAAGTTTTGTTTGGAAACAAAAATTCTGCCGTCATTTGAACATAGTGTAGCCATGTGGACAACGTATATGGTGATTTAAAGTAGTTTTAAATGACATGTCTGTGTTTGAAAATTACAATTGCATTTTTCTTTATACCCCAGGGCTGGTTATTTCTCACTATCTAGGTAACAACGGCACTGTTTTTGAAGAAGATAAACTGAATTAGAAAATAATGCACATTCAATGTGTAACAGGCACTTCACTTCGTGAAACTTGGGTTTCATTATTTTCAAAAAATTCAATGACCCCTTGTCAATTATTCCTTATAATGCCGAGTGTCCTAGTTTTTGGTAATCAAAATATGGACACCCTACTAGGCTAGGCTATTCCTACACATTTTAAAATTACAAAACTTTGAAAATAGAAAGCCAGCATAGGCAACATATTGAAGATTTCCTGTGGCTGTTCATGGAATAAGAGCAGGTTCGGTTCCAGAATCAAATCACGGAGTTTACTCTATAAAGTGCAGATATAGGCTAGCCTACAACATTTAAGCTAAAACGACTTGCCATGTATAAGCAGCCGCAGCTCTCCACCCTAGTGGGAGACATTTGAGATTATTTAGCCTACTACAAGACACCACTTTTACCAATATCCGAAAAGAATGTAGTATACAGTATGTATGTGTATATTGCTACGAATATTTTTCTAATAATCTATATGGCCAGACCTTACCTCAGCTCTGTCCCACGCGTTTTTACAGTCTATGGTCCCACGCAAAATGAAAATTTAGGGCAGTCTCTTCCAAAACATCGCAGCATGTCCATCGGCAATAGCAGCAATAAAAACAACAGTTTTATTCGGTAGTTAGGCTGTAGCCCAAGGGCGGAGCTTTGCTTAAGTCCCGCATGTTTTGTCAAAAGCCCCGATTTTTTTTTTTTTTTTAATAACTTCAACTTTGTTTCACTTCTGAGAAGCGGTCAAAGAAGCGGTGGCGGACGGTAATGCAACGCGCATCACTCAGCTTGTTTGCCAACTGCCAATAACAACCAACAAACTTCTTTGTCGTTGTCATCATCGAATAGACCTTATTCAGAGCAGCGCCATGACAGGTATGAAAGTGAGGCTGTGAGGGATAGACTTACCGTGTTTCCAATGGCATCCGCTGTAAAAAGCTGAATAAAGCGGCTAGATTGCTTCAAATTTTCCACAGCTTACATTGTCGGGAGTTTTTTGTCATCTGACATTTCTTGGAAAGATATTTTTCCAGTGTTTCATGAGCAGAACAAACCGAAAACACATTAAATAACAGTACAGCCCATTGAAGAGATGCAAGTCTATCCCTCACAGCCTCGCGTTCATTCTCTTTTAATGGCGCTGATGTTTAATTTTAATGGCGCATTTTTGATGGCGCTGCTGTGAATAAGGCGTATAGACTCTGTACACGAGAAAAATGCTAACTTCCGCCTTGAGGGCGGATGTTGGGTACTTTGGTTCCGGTTGCCGTTGTTTACATCCTAAATCAGTGGACCGGCTATCTAAAGCTTAGCCATCTAAATATATTTGTCTAAAACTATGTTCGTTTGTTCATTGTCAAGTCAACCAACACAGTTTTCACTCATATTTGGGTGGAGCTCATATTTTTTTTTTTTTTGTATTGTGTTTAATGTTGTTGTTGTTTCTTTTTCTCTGTCCAGCGCTTTGATCAACGCATGGTTGTTGTAAAGCGCTATATAAATAAAAAATTGATTGATTGATTGATTGAGCCAGGCGCTGCTGCATTGTGAAAAGTAAACGATATTTCACATTTTGTCACCGCACCCAAGCAGTCGCTTTACAGAGTGGAGCGTTGCGTATCCATGACAACTAGAAGGAAGTTTTTAGGCTACTAATTATTTATTATATTATACCCTTTAACCAGGAGAAGCCCCTGGGTTTAGAACCTATTTTGCAAGGGAGACCTGTTTAGAAATATGTGTGAACAGCCTAATATGTGTTAAACAGCCTAACTTGATAACGAACGAACCAACGTCGGATACCTTTACTCCCTGTATGACATGTATAGTGGTTGTCAACACGGATCTATATGACATTCTATATAGATAGTGGTTGTCAACAACATAGCCTCTGAACATCATAAACAAAACAATGGCCAACACAAACTGTTCTGGAAAATGCACTTTCTAACGCATGATTTCGCATTTTATAATGTATAGAGAGATATAACAGTTACCAAATCACATAGCTTGAGCACGTAGCATGGCAACATTAATGTCCGAGTGATTCCAAGTGTACCGCGTATGTACACGCCGTCAAATGTCCGAGCGAAACAAAACAAAATGTAGATCTACATCTGGGGAGCGATATTTATTTTTTCCTAGGATGGTAGGAGTGACGGGTAGGTTGGGGTTGAGGTAGGTCATATGCTATATACATATATACACTGTATGTGTATATATATATATACAATAACGTTAAGTCAACGGTATTCATAAACACCCTGAAAAGAGATTATGCGTGTTGATAGCATGCCAAAAATACGTGGTACGTGTCATACATACGCAATTTCATGAGATCTGCTGAAAAATCCAGCTAAAACCAGCCAAGGCTGGTTGGCTGGTTTTGGCTGGTCTCCCAGCCTGGTTAGTTGGTTTATCAGGCTGGTTTTAGAGGGGTTTTGAACACTTTTTCAGCTGGTCAGGCTGGTCTTAGCTGGTCAAGTTGGTAGCCAGGCTGGGAGACCAGCTTAACCAGCTAAGTCAGGCTGGGAGACCAGCTTGACCAGCTAAGCCAGGCTGGGTGACCAACTAAAACCAGCTACTTCCAGCTTAAACCAGCTAAGACCAGCCAACCAGCCTAGGCTGGTTTTAGCTGGATTTTTCAGCAGGCAGTCTGAGCATGGATGTTGTGACTTCAAAATGATGCAAATACTGAGAAATAATATTTAAAGCCCTTCTCTCTTGCTCTGGGGAGCTGGAGGAAAATCATTAGCCAGTCGATGAACATAATCGACTGTAATATTCGGCAAATGTTCAAGACATCTGGAGAAACATACATCCTCTACGTCGTCCATCAGGCTACCAGAAACTAGACACCCCATATCGGTTTCGCAGCCGGAACTATACGCTAACGTGCACATAGTCCATTTCTTTGAAAAGGTACAACTTCAGCCGATTTACTGCACAATAAAGTTCATGTAACTTACTATAGGCTAAATAACCATACATTCAGATCATCTCTTTGCAGGTAGCCATGCACCCACATAAATTTAATTCATAATCTAAATACTTTTCTGTGTACCCATCACCATGCTAATTAAAATAAATATCAATTCCAGATATTCATAAAGAGAGCATCACATGTTTATTCATTCATTCCAATTTTCTTTTTCAATAATATAAAACAACCCAGTACAACAGCTGAATAATATTAAAAGTTATAATCTATACTTAAGCTTTATAGTCATAGCCTACCACTTAACCAATACAAAAATGACATTACTAAAAGACATTCCTTAAAAAGTCAGAAAAAAAAGAGCAACACCAAACACAATTTGGCTTTCACTGCATCATATCTTGTTCACCCAGCCTTAAGATCATTAAAGCCAAATACACTGATAAAAGAGATCAATAATATGCTATTATTTCACAGAGTTTTATTTCAGAGCTTAGCGTTGTTATGTAGTCTCTCCCGATAGAGACCCTTTCCTTTTGTTTCATTTATTCCCAAGAAAGTGTGCCTTATCGCAAAAATGCAAATAAATATCAAGCTGCACTCCTTCTCTGTCGCTATTTCTCTCAGTCTCACGGTCGAAGTAACCATGACAACGGATAGCGTATCCTCCCAAGATGGCGGATCCCTCCCACAATGCACTGTGGAGTTAAATGCGTGACGTCACCTCATCTGCTCATTCATCCTAAGCAGGATGCACAACTGCATGAGGAGGTCATTGAACGTTTCATCAGAAATGATCGGAGGATGTATTTTATTTACAAGTAATAAATGAGTGTTAGGCCGGTGACACACTGGCTTCGTGGCGTGTGCGTGGCGTTTCTGTTGAGTGTCAGCTGCTTCGTGTTTTCTGTCTTTGCGCACTAGAAACGTGTCTGACGCGGCGCTGCTGCTAGGTGACTTCATAGGCTACTTCATGTTAAGCATAAATATAAAGCCTACTAATAAAGAAATTGTCAGCACTACAGCAAAATAGACTATACAGAATACTACGTTCTGTATTGACAGGACAATATTCGATAAATGATATCTATTTATTTATAAATTATATTTGTAGACCTATCTGAATGTCAAAACCTTTATAAATATGAATTCGTGTATAAATTAAATAACATATAAACAAATTTTCCTATTCTATTTTACCTGGAAATGCTTCAAACATTCTTGAGTGTCGCATGAAAAATAGGCGTCGGTTCTATTTCTAGCATGCACGCGATTTCTGCTTGGGGGGGGGGATTGTGATGATGATGATCGTTACTGAAGGCCCTGACTGAGACCCCACGGTACTGGGTACATGGAGGTTGAATGACAGGCATACCTGTCAAGTATCCCTTTTGGTCGGGAAAGTCCCGTATTTCACCCTTCTTTCCCGCCGTCCTCCCGTATTTGTATTTTCCCGTAAATCTCCCATATTTTAACCTTCGTTATTAAAATATAATAACACCCCGGGCGGAGTAAAAAAAAAACAAAAAAACATTCCCAATCTGAGCTCTGTCACTAGCCTTGCGATAACTACAGGTACTGTGGGTGACAGTTGTCGCGAGGTCAGATGATGAGTGACCAAGGAAGTTGAAGCCTCGCGGGAGCTGACATCTTGTAGCAGAACTTCACTTGTGTTAGCATTCCCATTGACTCCCATTCATTTTGGTGTCACTTTGACGGTGAATAACTTTACATCTGAGGCAAGACCCCATTTGTCCTTTATTTATTTCTAAAGAAACACGACAATGTATAAAAGGCTCCATTACCTTGTAGCTTATGTTATGGCCCCGTAGAAGCAGTTTTAGTGAAAGTAGGCTAAAGATTGCGTCATACCCACAAGACTCTCTGTCGCACAGTAGAGAGATTACCGTATGGACAGAGTGCCTTTTACTGGCACTCTGTAACTTCCATAGACAGTAAAAGAAATGGACAGAGCGATCTCATTGGAACTCCATTAACTTCGGGGAGCAGGTAGGAACCCGAGCACAAAAGAACTACAAAATTCGACTGCTTTACGGCATTCGTCACTTCCTCAAATTCTGACGCGAGAGCCCAACGAGCGTTTTTTTTTTACCTCATATGTTGTCATGGCTGAAGCAGCAAGTAAAACCAAATGTGAAGTGCGTCAGAAACAGAGCGCAGGCGATCAGTTTACTGTTGGTAATATGTTCGCCCCTCGCCGCATCCAGTGTAGACTGCATTGCTTTCTTTTGAGGGCGCTTAACACACTCAAGCATCCTGTAGAGCCGGGGCGGGCAGCTCGCGCAAGCTCGAGACGTGAATGATTACTGAGTTTAAGGGGCTACATTCTTGCAAGTAAATGATACATGATTAGACGAACAAAATAATCGGTCAGGATAGCTATCCCATGTCTGCAGGCTGATAGTCAAGTTTTTTACTTATTTTTCTGGTGAAAGTGTCTTGCTTTAGGCTATAATGCAAATCGATCCAGGTTCCAGATATTTATCTTCAGAGAAAAACAAAGGTTTCAAGTCCATTGCTTTTTAAAATAATAAAACGTGCTGTGCAACACAACACCGTTTACATCATTAGAAAATTTAATATGTTTAAAATTGTTTTCCATACATTCAAATACAAAATTAACATTCATTATATACAAACAAAACACAACAAAAAAGAGCAAAGCCCAGGTAGGTTTTGCAGCTTTTCGTTTTAATGTTCACACAGGCTTCATTAAAGGGTTAGTTCACCCAAAAATGAAAATTCTGTCAGTATTTACTCACCTTCATGTTGTTCCAAACTTCTATGTGTTTATTTGTTCTGCTGAACACAAAGGAAGATATTTGGAAGAATGTTTTAAATGAAACAGATCTCAATCCCCATTGACTACCATATGTATTTTTTTCCTACTATGGTAGTCAATGGGGACTGAGATCTGTTTGATTACAACATTCTTCCAAATATCTTCCTTTGTGTTCAGCAGAACAAATAAACTCATAGAGGTTTGGAACAACATGAGGGCGAGTAAATACTGACAGAATTTTCTTTTTTTGGGTGAACTAACCCTTTAAAGCCACACACTGATCAAAGAGACCAAGAATTTACCAATATTTCACAGAAATCAATATAAAACAGAAACAGAGTTATAGTTCAGTAGTTTGAGGTTTAACAGATATACTTCACTAGTTATTATAAAGTGTGTGTCTTTCATGATCTTCACATTAAAAGGCAAACGAAACTCAATGCTTCCGTAGCACTGAGTCAGTGATATTAGATCATATTTTCTGAATGATTTTCTGGGTTGTTGTCCAGAAACTTCCTCTTCTGTTTGTAGTTTTGTTTCATTTTGTAAATGATTGGCACAACGACGATGATGAAACAGCTCACAGCAGCAGCGATGACTGCAACTTTAAATCCACGACTTCCTACTTTTTCATTTTTAGATGATTCTGATTGACCCACGACAGATTCTTCTGGAAAAGCACATTTAAAATGTTTCATTGTTTAAAACCATTTATTCACAGGTGATTTAAAGTGCTAAATATGCTTACAAGAGACTAATGAGCAGTTTTCTGTGTTCCATAACTAACATGGAGAGCAATAATCAATAATTATAATGGAATGTACTTTCTTTCTTACCAGGAACTCCAGAATTTCTTTCTTTCTTTCCAGGATCCTCAATGACAGGTTCATGTTTACTGGTCTCTGTTAACAGATTTTAAACCACTATTATAGACTGAAAATAAATGTACAGTTGCAAACATATATTGAATTATAAACAGCAGTATTAAACACTGTACCTGTTATGTTCACAGTGAATTTTGTTTGTTCCGTTCCACAATCTGTCGCGATAAAGAATCTGAATTGCTCCATCATTACTGTAGTTGGAGTGAATCTGCATGTGAAGCTGTTTCTCTGTTCACAGGAGCCAGGAGGAACCTTTTCTCTACAGATTGTTGGGTCATTATATCTCTCAGGATATTGAAACTTATACACTGTAAAGCAGCATCCAGACTTCTTCAGAGAGACGCTGCACGTTAAAGTTACTTCTTTCCTCACAGTTCCAGTCACATCCTCACAGTTTACACTGATGTCATCTGAAAAATAACAATGCATATCATATATAATACAGCAACTGACAATAATAAAAAATGTCTTTAACTTTAATAAGAAAATCAGATTTACTTCCACTGAATATTGTGCAATGCACAAAACATTTTCCATTATTTTAGAATTGAGTTCTTATAATTCGCACACACTCTTTCTAGGAGGAAGTTTATTCTCTTACCGTCAGCTTGACAGACAGCAGTGAAAGTCCAAACTACAATGAACAGTTGAACTGCATTCACAGCATTCATGGTTTTCATTCTGCAATAGAAAATTAACAGAAAATTGCATTAAGAGTGAAACTTAAACAACGAGACTAATAAGGAAGTGCCAGAGATTAAATAGTAGATTGAGACGATTTACTAAAAGTTGAGCAGAAATGTCAGAATTTATCAGCAAAAGTTTGCTTGGATTAAATCAAATCCTTTAGTAATAGATCAACCAAAAGTAACAAGTCTGCCATCATTTGACCGTAGTGTGTGTATCAGCAAATATCAAGATGTTTCTGTTTAGAGAGTTATTGCTCACCTCTGGTGTGTGTGTCTGCAGCGTGTGTGTGTGTTCACTCTGACTCTCTCTACAGCTCACACAGATTTATACTGGATACACTTTTACTTTCCCTTTTATAAGTGGGTGTGGTGACGGCGCAGTGGATAAGACACATGCCTTTGGTGTGAGAGACCCAGGATCGAATCCACTGTGAGACACCAATGTGTCACTGAGCAAGACACTTAACCCCTAGTTGCTCCAGAGGCGTGTGACCTCTGACATCTATAGCAATTGTAAGTCGCTTTGGATAAAAGTGTCAGCTAAATGAATAAATGTAAATGTAAAAGAGCAGTCGGTGCTGTAAAATCTCCCCTTCATGATGTAATGCTGAAGACGGCTGACATTCCAATACTGCAAATCCTCCCAGTGAATATAGACTAAATCGGTTAGGTTTAATAAGGATTTTAATGACTTGGACATAATTGCTCAACTCTTCAATGCTATAATTGTAATACGGATGAAAGCATTCAAAGAGTCAAAGCAGTGTTGTTTCCCTTTACTATTGCACACCTCAACAAACACATCAGGGAGATTTTTCTTCTTTGTAAAACCCTTATCCAACTATAAAGAACTTGTCAATCTATCCCTCATTAAAGGAAAACAGGTTATTAATACTGTAGATTGCATCACCACATACAGTCGTTAAACCATGCGTCAAAGAAGGAATGCATGCAGTTTATCTTCAGCATTTTCCATCATTACAAACAATACAAGTCACAATGTTGTGCCTCGAGCGAGATGACTCCATAAGGGAGATTTTCACAGTAAACATGCACTTGAAATGGCAATGAATTGTTATTGCGGGATGATTGTAATATAACGATTGTCTGGGTCTTGATCTCCAGGTTACCCTTAAACATGTCATTAACTATAATGCCAACACACACACACACAAAACATATACATATATAACAACATGTCTTAAAACTAACTTAATATCGTAATTAAAAATATTATTACTACATGTTAAATACAAAAAAAGATATAACGAGCTCTGCAACATGAAACATACAGGCGTTACAATCTAGTCAAGTCAAGTCACATTTATTTATAGCGCTTTTCACAATACAGATTGTATCAAAGCAGCTTCACAGTGATAACATGAAAGTAGCACAACACAGATCAACAACATTGCTAAACACTAAATAACCCCAACTGAGCAAGCTCAAAGCAAGCCAAAAGCAAGGCGACAGTGGCAATCTAGTTTAAAACATTTCAATAGACACATCAATAATGAGAATGATCACGAGAAATTCCTCTCGTGTGAAAGAGTTAAAAAAAGACTGCCTTGGTTTCATAAGCTGTAACTTTAGATTAGCCAAATAACATTATACGGTATTCACTAAAAACCTTCCTCCTATTCCCTTCCTGAGGTAAGAAATGTCAAATAACAACGGTCATAGGCCAATGTAAAATTTTAATATTTTTCGTAGCATGAAAAATTTCCAAATGCGATGAATTTATTTTCTAAAAAGTTTTCTATTAAACGATACATACCTTTTGGTTGTGTTTGCTGTAGTTTTGGAGATAAGAGTCTTTGCTGGTTTTGTGTGTCACTCAGAAAAAAACAACGGAAACAAATAAATCATTCAGGGTTTAATCCGTAGCGGTAATTACTTCAGCCTGTCTTGCAATATCTTTTTCTTTTTTCTATTCTCCGACGAACAGCACGAGTAGACTCTCGATCATCTGGTGGTCTTGCAGCTCCTTTGCTGTTTATAAGAAGGGAATGGGGCAGGCTCTCCCCAGAATAACAAAATAAGAGCCCTATAAAAAATCTTCTGTCAAAGAAAATGATATAGAAACACCTTTCAAAAAAAGAGTTGATCTAACTTAACATGTGAAAATCAAGTAAAGCATCAGTAACTGTCAGAAATGAATACAATCTGATTTAATTAACCTAGTGCTGTTTTAATACTTAATAAAACAGTCGAACGTCACGCGATAATTTTGGTACATTTCCTAATAGTTTTTATTTATTTATTGATTTCTGTATTCTCTAAAGTCTCTAGGCCTTTAGAGGATGTACAGAGTAATATTGGTCGAAGAAAAGTTCCTCCGAGCAGGACCGCCCTCTGCCGGCAGGAGAATGCGGCAAAATCTTTCTCTCCTGACAATAGATGCCACAAAATCTCATCTCAACACTTTTAATGAATGCCTACTATTTTGTCATTGCATCTGAATATCAACATTTGTGAGATTTAGTCAGCCGAAACAGGACAATTAGTCAGGATAATTGATTTAAATTTTGTGTCTCAGGAGGATAGTGTAAATAATGACACTGTATTGTGATAATGTTGTCTTGTGTCTATGTTATTCAGTGATTTGTGGACACATTAGTGTTTTTGGATTTGTGGGGTAAAAAGTTGATGCAAAATAATAAGTGGCATGCTGTAACTTGTTTTATTATGTTTAGACTTATACTTATTGTAATTAATTGGGTTATTTAATTTTTTACGTTATTAGATTTATATTTCAGACATGTTTGTTTTTAGTAAAATCTATCGGTGAATTGAGAGAAATCAATAAATTCGCTTTGTGTATCCATTATGACACATCTTCAATTAAAATATATGGGCAATTAAATATGTAAATGTTCATTAGCATGTATATAACTCAAAGAATCATTTGACCTTTCAGATTAATCTCTGTTACTGGGATTCTGCGTTGTCTGTTATCGGTTTTCAATTATTCAACTACATTGTCAAAATAAAATGAAATACAATAGCTAATTTATTATTTTACATTAATGCCACTTAAAAAAATATGTAAATATTCATAAGAATTACATCAAAAGTAAATTATCAGTTCTGAAAAGTTTATCCAGTAGATACCATCTTATCCCTCATTTAATATTTGTCATTTTTGTGCTATAACAACTAAATGAGCAAATATTTATATTAATAAATAATATTAAATTATATTCAATAGCCTTTTGGCTAAATCTGGTGCATGTACAGTAATGTTAATTAATGCACTGTCCCTGTCAAATAAATTAATAAAACAAAAAACAAACAAACAAAAAAAAAACCCATAGGCTGATGCATCATCATCATCCAACAAATGCTTAACTTATATTAACATGTGTTACAATTTAGCTTTCTGACTTTATATTCCTACATCATCAATTACCATAGATTAACTTTAATCGTCACTAGTATAGTTTTCCCATCACAGATATTAAAGTTGATTAGAAATACTTAAAAGAGATCTTGGACAATATTGAGATTATCAGGAGACTTTAAAAATTTAATAAAAACAATTAAAATGCTATTGGTATATACATGTGGCAATGGCAAATACAATGTGGATATATGACACTCAAAAATGCTAAAATAAAATAATATTTTACTCAAATTATTAAAGTTTTGATGCAGAATATCTAAACATGGCCAAATATTGGCTGAATAATTGCTCAATAATGATCTAAAATGTTGTAACTCACAAGTATATGAGTTTTAGTTCAATGAAAGTCATGTTGAGTATGAAAAATGAAACAAAACTCTCTTCATTCATCTAGTTTCACTCTGAGCATTTACTGTCCTCATTGTTGGTTCTGCAGAAGCACCTCTTTCATAGTTCATCTGGAATCCAGAACGGTAGTTGCGTCTGACCCTAATTACATGAAAGACCGTCGCCCCGATGATGACGATGGCGAGAATGAAGGAGACGATGACAGAGCCCACAACATTGTTGATAATGGCCTTATATCCAAGACCTGTTTAATATCATTTATAATATAATTAAGAATATTCAGTAATAATGAGTAACAACACTGTTTAGACTGTTACTGTTATAGCATCACAGACTTCACAATATATTTCTGCCGCTGTTAGAATTTCTAGTATATAATTTATATCTAGTATATAATCTAGTATATAATAGTATATAATTTCTATACATATCTAAATGTACTCTATACAGAAACAAAATTCAAATGAAATAAAATTCAAACAACTGTGGAGAATCTTTCTGTGTTCTGTGAGTAACTTGAATTCATACTCTGTAACAAAGAGTTATAATAGAATTTAATATCTTTCTTACCAGGATCTTCAGTAACTAGATGTTTGCTGTGCTCTGTGAACAGATATTAAAACATTGTTAGTAGATGGAAAATACTGTAAATGTAGAGTTGAAAACGTTGAGTTTTAAACATCAGCACAGCATACACTGCAGACATTTGAGTTTACATCAGTTTAATTAATCTATAGAAATGTAATTTGTCCCTTTAATCGTCAAAAGTAAAGTTGAAGTGTTGCTTAATTGATTATATACAGTTATGTGTATGTATATAACAAAAACAGCATCAGTAAGTTGTTTTATAATGACTGTTTAACAGCTTCATGTATTTTGTTAGAGTAACCACTTTGTATTCAATTATAAATAATTATAATATGTAATATATTTCTTACCAGGATCTTCAGTGACAGGTTCATGTTTACTGGTCTCTGTTAACAGATTTTAAACCACTGTTAGTAGATTGGAAATAAAGTACAGTTGCAAACATTTATTGAACTATAAACAGCAGTATTAAACCCTGTACCTGTTATGTCCACAGTGAATTCTGTTCGTTCCCATCCACACTCTGTCACGATAAAGAATCTGAATTGTTCTGTCATTACTGTAGTTGGAGTGAATCTGCATGTGAAGCTGTTTCTCTGTTCACAGGAGTCCTGAGGAAACTCTTTACAGATTGTTGGGTCATTATATCTCTCAGGATATAGAAACTTATACACTGTAAAGCAGCATCCAGACTTCTTCAGAGAGACGCTGCAGGTGAAAGTTACTTCTTTCCTCACAGTTCCAGTCCCATCCTCACAGCTTACACTCATTTCATCTGAAAAAAGAAATCAGTTTAATACATTAACAGAAAACTACAGCCCCATTTCCAGTAAAGTTGCTGCATTCATTTATTTAATGCAATAAAATAAATAATCAGTGATTTGTTAATTATCTTTAACCTTTATTTAAATGTCAAAAGCAATAAGAAAGGATTTCCAATGTATTCACTTACCAACTTAAATATATATATATATATATATATTTTTTTTATTCGGGACAGTGCACATTAATGGACAATCTAACATTTCTGTAAAGGCTGTAAATGAGCCAGGTTGCTAATTTTCACATGTAGTCCGAGGCAGAGAGACAACAACATATAAAATAATGCAACAGTAGAATATGACAATATACAACATCAAGCGAGAAACACATTCAGACAGTATACATTGTAGGCTATCAATAAAATTATTAAACTGGGAACTTTTTAAAAGCTTTTTTAGGTGCTTTTTAAATGTGCAGTAAGTAGGACATTCCCTATGTTTGTTGGGATGCTGTTCCAAAAATGACCTCTTCTGACAGACATAAGAGTTTGTTCAAAGGTAGTTTTTCTATGCTCCCGCATCACTATATATCTCTATATCACCTCTGGTACAACAACCTCTGTCAGACCTTGGTTTAATGTGTGTAGAAAGTGCAGCTGGAGCCAGTCCATGCAAAACTTTATAAATTAAACAGCTATTTTTAAAATTAATAAAGTTTTCAAAATTTAGCATATTGTATTTTCCTAAAATATTACACTGATGGTATGACAGAGGTTTTTGATCAAGTATTTTTTATTGATTTTTTTAATAACATTTCTATAATTCCAGTGAGTGACCACGTTGTAATCAGTGTTGGGTAAGTTACTCTAAAAAAGTAATTAATTACTAGTTACTAATTACCTCTTCAACAGTGTAATTAGATTACTGTACTAATTACTCTCTCTTAAAAAGTATTTAATTACTTTTAAAATCCCATATCAATCTCAACCAGCTGAATAATACAAGGATAGACATGAATCGGTTTTAATTCTTTCAAATAAATACTATAAAATTGCATGAATTATCCTTAAACTGACCAAGGTGGAGAAGGTTACATTATAAAAACATACTTTTTAACATCAGACAATACATTTTGATGTTAAACCCACTATTGTTTTGTCTGATTTCATGACTTTTCACACTTTTTTCATCCATATTTTACAATAATTCACACGAATTTGGTAACATTTAGACACCTCATAAAACGCATATGAATCGCCGTGAGATCGGATTGATCTATACACAGTATTTACCTCAATTACATCAGAAGTAACTGTAATTAAATTACAGATAAATTAAGAGTAATCCCTTACTTTACATTTTCAAGGGAAATGTAATTAAATTACAGTACCTAATTACTTAGTAATTAGTTACACGCAACACTGGTTGTAATGCAGTAATCTATATGTGAAAATATCATTGAGTTTAGGAACAATTTAGCAGAAGTAATTCTCATTGATGATCTGATTTGTTTAAAATGATGTAAATTGAAATTAATTCTGTTTGTAAGTTTGATGCGTTTTTTAAAAGAAAGTGTTGGGTCCAGTGTGACCCCGAGGTACTTTAACTCCTCTACAATGTCAAGTTCCACTTCCCCAAGAAACACATTGGACAGCTCTAGTTTTATGTTGTTGTTGTTTTGTTTTTTTGTGAAAACCACAGCAACAGTTTTCTTTTTGTTCAGTAGTAGGCAAGATTTAAGCAGCCAATGCTGTATATTATCCAATGTTATACCATGGTCTGGGTGAATACTCGATTCTGATTGGCTGCAGGGTGTCCGTTAAAAAGTGATAGAGGACACCTAGTAAAGTAGTTCTCTGGTGAAACTGCCTGTTTACCATTCGAAATTAATAAATAAATGCGCTGCCTACAACAGCTGTGAGTAACCATAGCAACAGGCAGTCAAAGTATCCATTAACAATTTGCTCTATCAAAACAAATATCTAACGTTAGTTAGATACTACATAGCCTAGGCTGTGGTTAGTGTAGACTAGTGTAACACATAGTGTTTTATGTATAATAAAAAATAACTACCTACCTTTACCTTTGCCTACCTTTGTGTTTCATGAAAAAAAAAAAATGCATTTTTGAACCTGGAGGTTTCTACAAGCTGAGCGGCTAAATGTGACTCTGGGTCACATGATGAGTTAGCTTAGAGAAAGTAAATATATTCTCTTACCATTAGCGTGACAGACAGCTGTGAAAGTCCACACCAGAATGAACATCAGCACATTACCAGCACCCATGCCTGTGCTTCTGGAAAAAAAAACACATGACAAACATTTAGATCTGAAGTGAAATTGCATTTGTGCTCCAACCAGCTATATAAAGGAAGAACTTGTCCAGTGTGTTGATCACCGTATCTATCCTGGACTAAAAGTCACTGTGTGCAGACTAAATAGCTGTATAATGAATTGAACCCCCAGGTACTGCTGTAAATCACAAATCATCTGTATTCACTTACATTTAATCGTTTAATTAGCAGACACTTTTATTTAAAACGACTTAATTACAAAGATGAAAATTAGATCACTTTTTGACAAACTTGTCAACATTTGTTAGGCTAATCATCATACATCATTCACTGCTTTCACTAGCTGTACGTAAACAAAGTCTCTTTCTAAGAAAAGCACTATATTTGCAACACCTCTGGGTATCTATTTCAGGCATCCAAGACCAAGTCCTGTTTATTTAAATCAGGCAATCCTGAAAATCCTCACATTTAGATAACATATTTCAAAATATGACATGCCATAAACTTCCCCATAAATGTTCAAATAGCACCAATAAAGCTTATATTTCAGGCTGGACCAGAAGGATGCTGACTGTTTCTATAGCAACTAGAGTGATGACTTAACCAATCAGTCTAAAGTTCTTGATCAGTGAGTACTTTTAAGTGAAAGCAAGATGAGGTGCAAAGAGAGTGGACCTCGGTGAGGGTTGAACTGCACTCAATAGACTACAACCTGTCCTGTGTACCGACCGAGACCTGTAACAATTTACTGTAACTGTGATAATCATTCTGGTCTGCCATACATTGAATTATTATTGAATATTCAATTAATCTAACCAACATTTCACGTAGGCCTAATGGCCCATCGGGACCTTGCTGTACAGGGACAATGTAAAAGTAAAACAATTAATCACTACACAACAAAAGACATACTTACATTCCAATTCATAGAAACGCAGAGTTTCGATTTAAAAAGGGAGATTTGTGCAAACTATTTGGCTATTTGTAGTTTATGACTTCGTCCAGTGAATTTATAGACTATCACTTTCACTTTCAGAATTGCTGTGATTCAGTGGCGACATTCCTTACTCATTTGATGTATAATATAAACAACAGAAGTGGTCTACTAAGGGAAGAATATCGTCTTCATATGCTGTATTGTCGAAGTTACGACGTCACTCTGTAGGCCAAAAGTGAGCTATAGGATTTTTGAATGGGTGCTTGAATGCTTGTTGTAACTCTTCAAAAATTAACTTTATTTTTGATCTTTTTCAACTTTGAATCTAATACTACACATATTTAACTATTCAAAATTTGTATTGGTCAATCTCAGGCAACTTTATTTATTTTTTTACAAGGTTTAAGCAGAATATGGACGCATGTTTTCTCAATCCTGTTACCGAAAATCATGTGTCATTTAAAAAGCAAGTTTAGAAGCATGTCAATTAATTCCTTTGTTTTCCCCACAAGAAAGTGTTTATTTTAAAGAAACTGTTGGTTATATGTTCAAAAAATTGATATTTGTGCCAATAAAATCACTATTAAAGCAAGGTGTATTTTGATATAAAACACACAAAGGCATTTTTTTTTTCATTTTAAAGACGACCGAAGCCTCAAGCTTATATTTTTTTTTAGAATTAATTCATTAAATAATTGTATAAATTATGGGCCAAACAAAAATGATAAAAATAGTGGTTGAATTTTATTTTTTAGAAAAAGAAACAAATAGTATTGCCTTCAGAAGATCCAGATGATGAAACTTACTGTTGAAAATGTGTCTTGTGGAATATTCTACGTTATTCAGCGGGGGGGATGTCATAGTGTAACAGGACTGAGTGAAAACCTGGGGACATGACTAAAATGTGTATTTTATCTAAAATATTAGATCAAATGTTTTTTTTTCTTTTTTTACACAACAATGCAAGAAAAAAATCAGATTTCTGAAGGATTTTAATCATAATATTTCATGGTAGAGTTTAGAGATAGAGAGTTGGGACATGCAGAAAATGCTATTTTTTAGTGTTGTGTGTCGTTTTTGTTAATGTTTTTAATTATACGTTTTTAATTTGTAGTTAGCTAAATGTGCATGACATTTTGCTTAATAATAAAACGTATTTTAGAGATAATTTTCATGCAATTTTATACATATAAGGTCCTGGGGACAGAAATGTCACCCTTTCGGTGGAATGGCTCATACATTTTGGATTAACTTGTAAAGATTATCTTGCTAGACAAAACGTGTAAGGGTCACAACTCTTTGTTGAACACAGATCTTATTTTTTGCGATTTTTCCAAAAGTCTATGGGGAAAATGCATTGCTTTTCGACCGAGGGAACCCATGCGCCGCAAACTTCCGAGTTGTCCTACAAAGTGACGTCATAACTTCGGCACTCTATCGCAAGTTGTTTCGGACAACAGGAAAACATCATCGCTTAAGTTAGCGCTGCTAATGAACAGGACTGAAATACATCGGCTGAACTTGAAAGACATCATATGCTCACCTACTCGGCTTCGATGCTTTAAGGAAAAAGAAAAAGGCATTAGAATTGAAAATAAAAAAGGGAGAATAGAATAGAAACTACAGTCTTGGTACAGTCTTCTCCGCCATCATAAAACCACGTGACTCAGCAACGCCTTTGGCTACGTCACAAGACGGAGGCGGTGACAAAAACATAGAGGTGGTCAAACCACCAAACTCATGACAAACACATGTTTTAATTTCCAATTACAAACAGCACTTACTCGGCCATGCATGTAAAGTTCGCTGTCAATATGTAGCATAGATTCGTACTGATATCCAGTCTTGTTCTGGTTTCAAATGCTTGTGGCATTTATAGGTAAAAACAGCAAGCACACAAACCCCCACTTCACTTCACTGTAGTATATATAACATAGTCTTAACTACAATCTTTTAAACAATATATTAAACACACACCTGTCCCTAATCTCACCTCCTGTATCACATACAACAGCAGCAAAAGTGTTTTACAATACAACATGAAAACAATAAGTAGCCTACAGTGTACTTAGAAAAATAAGTACATACTTAAAGCAGAAAAATAAGTACATACTTAAAGCCACTTAATATAAAGTGGGATCCAACATTTAAAAACAAATATCTAAAGATTTCCCGGGAATAAGTTTAGTTCACTTGTAATAAATATGGCATCCTGATCAGCTGTGTGTCTCTTCTACACTGACTTTAGTTTTACTGGGATAGTAAGTACGTAAACTTTACTTATATAGCACTTTTCACAGACATGAAGGGTCACAAAGTGCTTCACGGTAAAAAACAAATAATAACTAATACTAATTTGTTATTATTTGATAATATATATATATATATTTTATTATTATACTAATACTAATACTTAATAATATTTATTATTATAAATATTATACTAATATTTAATAATATTAACTGTATTTACTGGTATACCCAATCACCATGTTCCAGATATTCATCTTTAGAGAGAAGTTTTTATTCATTCCTTTGCTTTTTTAAACAATAGGGTACACTTATAATACCACATAACTCACACTATTACAAAACTGCATACAAAATACCAAGAGTAAAAATAAATGTATATACAGAAACAGTAAGCTATATGTAACTTATCAAAATCAGTATTGAAGACATCCTTTAAAAGTCAGGCCATCTTCTGCTGTGTCTCGAGATGTTCCTGATATGTTCTTGGTGAATTTCTCTGAAAAGGTGCAATAAACAAACCATTTAAATCATAATTCACAATATCAACCTAATCGACCATGAGATTCTCCGTCACATCACAATATGATTATTCTGCTGAGAATCTGCTAAAACTGATTTCTTGATACTGTGCACTCTGTTACGTTTATATGAAACCATGATCATACATCGGTTTCCTTCTTAAACTTTACTAATGCATGATTTCACAGACAAGGTTTAAGCCTAGGCTCAGACTAAAATGTATGTTTGAGCTGGCTTAACTGAAAGCAACTTGTGTACTTCTTAGCCATGTCTGTGAAACCAGGCCTCAATATTTTATTTTGTAGCTGGTTTAAAGAACAGTTTTCTATGTAAGTAATCAAGAGTAATCAATAATTATAATTAAATACAATAACTTGATCATCAGAAGCTTTAACAAGCTTTTTTTCTCAGGTGGGCTCTGTTAACACTTTTTAAACTACTAGACTAAAAATAGATGCACATTTACAAACATATATTGAATTATAAACAGCAGTATTAAACACTGTACCTGTTATGTTCACAGTGAATTTTGTTTGTTCCATTCCACAATCTGTCGTGATAAAGAATCTGAATTGCTCCATCATTACTGTAGTTGGAGTGAATCTGCATGTGAAGCTGTTTCTCTGTTCACAGGAGCCAGGAGGAACCTTTTCTCTACAGATTGTTGGGTCATTATATCTCTCAGGATATAGAAACTTATACACTGTAAAGCAGCATCCAGACTTCTTCAGAGAGACGCTGCAGGTTAAAGTTACTTCTTTCCTCACAGTTCCAGTCACATCCTCACAGCTTACACTGATGTCATCTGAAAAATAACATCATATATCATTTAATACAGCAACTCATGTGCGTATGCTTGGGGGCTGTGGGTCATTTTGGGCAAGTGTGTTAACTAGAGGTTTCATGGGCCAAAATGAATAAATCTAGATTTAATTAAAAAAAAACATGACCTGACGTTTTATTCGTCTCCAAAACAAGGCGATGCGTTTCATTCTCACTCTCGCAGAAAGTCCCAAACAAACTCATAGAAGTTATCATTTATGACGATGAGGAAATCCCTTAAATGGACAAAAGCATCTAGAAATGTGAAGGCAATAAACATATGATAAATTATAGGATTTACGTGTTTTTCAATCCATCTCGGGGTATTTTCATTATAAAGTAAATGAATAATGTGGTAAATATAAAAAATAGAAGCGAAGTTTCTGCCTTATTCTATAAAAATTACATTTTATATGTAAAATGCATAAACGTCATTAGGACAATAAGGGAAATTAGAAATTATGGAATAAAAGTTGATTATTGTGCAGCCGTGCATTTGATTTCTTAGCCATAAAATCATGGTAATGAGAGAGTTAAATATATTTTATTATTTGTGAATTGTACCCTCACGATGTGCGCACCATTTATTGCTAAAACCAGTATAATACAGCAGTTTTTATAAAACACAAAATATAAAATGCCAAGTGAAGGAATAACAAACTAATATTAAAATGGGTTGCTTATGTGACTAAATGAACATTTGGCTCTTGTTCTGCTTATATAGAAATAAAGACAAAATTAATCTACAGTATATGATCACCAAATTAAAAAAGGAAGAAAAATGCAGAAAATATAGGATATTTATGACATAATGTTGTCTCCGGATCAGTGTTTTATAACCCTTTCTAACAGATGCACAGTATCTGCATGCAACTTTTCTTTTTTAAATCCTCTGCATCAGATATAATTGAAAAAAAAAAACAAGATCCAGCAGACTTGATTTGAAATGTAATGTAATGATGTAATTATCTAAAGTAATTAATTAATTGGATAAAACATGTTGGATTTCCCTCACTTATTGTGTAATGCTTTATTTAGTCATGCTCCAAAAAAATATCTTAAGTAAGATTTTTATTTTAATTTACCATCTTGACAGACGGAAGTAAATGTCAAAACCAGAACCAACAGTTGCACAGCACTTCCAGCACTCATGGTTTAGTTTCTGCAATAAAAAAAAAACATTTGTATTTAGATAAGGAGGAACCACAAATGAATGGTATAAAGACTTTAAAGAGAACGATTCACTTACAGTACGTATGTATTCAATTTGTGCGAGTCTTTTTTTCCACAGTCACAAGAGCAAATAAATAGACATAAGTTTAAGTTTCAGAATTACTTCACTTCCTGTCCTGGCTCTATCTCACACTTTGAATTGGTTAGCAACTTATACGGTTTATTTTGAGATTGATGTTTAAGTAAAAAAACCCTGTGGTATGCCACTACCTGTAGTTTTGCTAGCACTGCAGCTTAGAGTCACTTACACGGTTTGAACTGACTTCAAACTAAGCATTAAACGCTTAAAACTTAGCATTCCGATATTTGTTATTTTTAATATATGTATATGAAAGGAATTCACATAATCTGACTCTGGCGTGTACTAAATATACTGCAATAAATATGTATACATATCTGTAATCCCAGGGACTACAGATGAAATTTAGCTTGCAGCTAATTCTGGTAGCCTATGGCCGAGTGCCATAGGCTACATTGTCCCTGTTAAAATCCTGAAAATGCCCTCTAGAAACTCTAGTTTAAAAACGCTGACCCATTAAAGGGATAGTTCTTTGAAATACTTTGAAATGATTTTGTGATATGTTTTAGCTTACCTCAAGGGTATCCAAGATGTAGGTGTCTTTGTTTCCACAGTAGTTTCAATTTTGATATTTTTAGGTCAAACCGTTCTTGTCTGTCAGTAATATAATGGAGGTCTATGGTCACCACCTCAAAGAGCATGCACAGAGAAGTCCAAATTAAACATGATTTAATGACTCGTAAATGTATACATTGATGGCCTAAGACACGAAACGAGCGGTTTGTGTGAGAAAACCAACAGTATTTATATCTTTTTACCTCTTGTAATCACAGTCAGGTGCATGCTCTTTGAGGTGGTGACCATAGACCTCCATTATATGACTGACAGACAAAACAGAGGTTTGACCTAAAAATATCAAAATTGAAAACGCTGTGGAAACCAAGACAACTACATCTTGGATGCCCTTGAGGTAAGCTAAAACATATCAAAAATTAATTTCAAAGTGAACTATCCCTTTAAGCAAGTTTGAATATACTTCACACAATGTGCAAATCAAGTAAAGCACCAATTGTAAAATGAACAATTCTAAACTGGTTTAATTTTATTACCCACTAAAATGCAATCAAGAACTTCACACGGTCCGTTTGGTGCATTTCATTATAGTCTGTTATTTATTTGTGTATTCTAGGCCATCATAAAGAGAGGCTGTACAAACACGGTCCTTACAGAACTTTTTACAAGCGAACCACAAACTGTATGAAAGACCAAGAACAAAGGGAAAGAATAAAGAAACGTCAAAGAAATCAAAAGTAAACAAAACAACTCAGTGTTTCCTTCACTTTCAGTCGATAACAATTTCAGTTTTGTCCTCATTTACAATTATAACGAGCTTAAACAAGCAGCAATCCTCCACCAAGAGTCATCAGACGACACTCAACCAACAACAGAAACGATGCATATATTCACCTCAGAACAAACAAGACACAAGATGCAAATGAGAGTAGAAGACTTCATGCGGTTTATGTACATTCAGGTGCTGCTTAAATAAAAATATAGTATTAGAATGATAATCATATTGGTCAAAGACGACTGATTTCATCATAGCAGGACACGACCGACGCTCATTGTCATCGTGTGTGTGTGTGTGTGTGTGTGTGTGTGTGCAGAATTAGAGAGACAACAGACAATAAATCGAGTGGTTACGCCAAGACACATTACTTCAGTCAACATGAAAAGTAAACAAAATGACAAATAAATATGTATACAAAGAAACACAAACCCAGCAATGCGTCAGTGGATCGTTCTAGTGCTCGTGGCATGAGTCTGCCTGACGACAGCGCTCTCTGCTGGTAGAAGAATGCATTGCAAGGGTTACATTATATTTATGACACCTGAGCAGAGAATGGCTTTCCCACTGTATATAAACAACACACAAGACTATTCAGTATTCAACATCATGCTCTCTGGATATACAGCGCCGTATTGATAAGGTGTACTACCTGTATATTAAAGGTACAACAGCAGATTTCATCATCGAAATCAACTCTAGTGGTTGATGATGGATTGAGTGAATCTCATAAGAACCAGGTCATAATTTCACCCCCAAATCAATAAAACACGTTTTGGATGATGAAGCCTATTTTTAGGACCATTAAGGTTTTTGCGTGTGTGTGTGATGCCAATGCCAATAAAAAAAATGTATGTCACTCTAATATAGTAAACAGAATCTAATGATGGGAATTGCAAAATAAATGCTGGGATTTGGAGATGAAATGTCATAAATAAATCCACAATTGTCATATATATATATATATATATATTTTTTTTACTTTGGGGTGAAAATGTGACTTGGACATGATTTTTTTTACAATATTCACCCAAACAACATTACATACGTTCATAAACACTTTTTATTTATTTATTTTTTTTTACTTGTAGACCTCTTCTATTTCTTTTTCCCTTTAGACTCACTGTAACAGCAAGACACGCCAGTTTCGACTCAAGACTCCACTGAAACACCACAATATCTGCAAAAGTAACCATGAAAGAAAAACGATGCTCGAGACTGAAATGTGACGGCAGAATCTCCTCACCACGGTGAAACACATGGTACATTCAAGGGTTTCAAGCACCCGTTCGAAGTATTGGTCATGATGTCACAGGAAGCCGCGTGCCGTGTATTTAAACATCCACATATGCGTTGATCACACAAACAGGCCTATGCTGAATATTGCATGTGGCAGTTTGGATTTGGACACACCACATTCATTATAAGTTTGAAAACATTCCTTATATAGGTGATATATTTTTGCGCATATACAGACTGTCTTTCCTCGGTTACATAAGAAAGCAATTAAGGGGAAGTGCGTCTTAAACACTGACTAACTGCATTTAACAGGAAAAAGATGACATTCAGTGCGCTGCGTGGGTAACAGGTCCGTTTGACTCGTGAACTACACACACCGCGTGCCTCCTACCGGCTCCGAAACACCAAAGATTGTCACTAGTCAGCCATGCCGTACACAGCAGACAACATTCAGCCAAGAGAATAATGCAGAAAGACAAGGACGAGAAGCTAAAATAGAGATACTATACAGACAAAACCTACGCATCTCTGTTTGACTTTCGTCTCTAAAAATATCGTAACATCCTTTTGCATATTAACAAAGATAACATCTTGAATTAAGTTTATTTTCCACAGAGTTTAACGCTTAAATCAAACAAAAGTTTGTGCTTAAAAAGTATAACAATCTGCTTAATTCAAGAGTCGATATACAAACGTGTCGATTTAAAGACGTTTCAATATTTTTAGCGAAAATACCGAGTTCTGCAGTGTTATAATATTTAGTGTTCAGTGCAAAAGGCGTTTTAGGGTTTTGCTGAGCAAATGGATGCTATATTTCGTGACCTTGTGCATTATAATACAGTTACAGATTGCTAATGTTGGAGAACGACATGTAAAAATGACTTCTGTTCGTCTACCGGTCCTAAACACCACACAAAAATAGACGCCCGTGTGACAAAATGACAAGCATTGCGTTTCCGAGCGTCGGCATCGTTCTCGAGTTACTTCAAGGGATGCAAAACTAAAAACCTGCCAACGATATGGTACCTTTATATGGTTTTGAAGATGTTTAAGCACGCCAGGCCTAGGTAGTGTGCGATAAAAAGTCGCAGGAGAAACCGAGAACTAGAAGGCAAAGGAACATTTTATGCATTGCGTAATTCCCTCCGAGAAACACGTTCTCCCGACCAGATTCCATAGCACCTTGTGTTGTGACATCACCCACCCATCAGCCAATCACAGAGTCAGATTCAGTCAGAATCAACACCACTTCCTGATGGCACAGAGCAGGAGGGCGCACACAGGAAAGAGAGAGACCTCACTTCCTCTCCGGTAACGCGAGCTTCCCGCGGGTTCACTTGCGGACGGCCTGCCGGTAGCTGTGTCTCTGGCCCTGTCCGCGGGAGCAGCTGTTGTTGGGCTCCTGCGGGAGACACGCGGTGCTGGTCTGGCTCGGGCTCGGGCCGTCTCTGGTGCTGCAGGTCAGGCTGCTGTCCTGTAGTGTGGGACTGGATTGAGCTCTCTGTAACGCCCCTTCCTCCAGGAGCATGGACTCGAACACCGACAGGTCGTCGCCGCCGCAGCGCTGCTTGGCCCGCAGGAGCATGCTGTACGTCTCGTAACGCGTTTTCTGACAGAGAGAGAGACGTTTTGTCAACGTTCAACTGTGCATTGCATTGTGGGCAGTAATACGTCATCAGGGAGTATATACACAGTACTGTGCAAAATGCTTAGGCATGTTAGTATTTCACCCCAAAAAAATGGCTTTAAGTCTATATCAGTTTACATTTCCAAACATTCATTTTGCCGTTAAAGGAGTTTTTTTTTAAAAAAAAACTTTTGCTGATAATTTACTCACCCCCATGTCATCCAAGATGTCCATGTCTTTCATTTTTCAGTCGAAAAGAAATTAAGGTTTTTGATGAAAACATTCCAGGATTTTTCTCCATATAATGGACTTCAATGGGGACCAAACGGTTCAAGGTCCAAATGAGAGTTTCAGTGCAGCTTCAAAGGGCTTTAAACGACACCAGACGATGAATAAGGGTCTTATCTAGGACCCTTTGAGTCGTGACTCGAAAGAAGATTTATTCATTTTGATGAACAAGTTCGAACAGGAGAGTCACGAACGCTCATCTCAGAACAGAGGAAGGCGAGCATTTGTGCTTATAAAACTTAAACTTTTTAATTTATTTTTTAAATGAGCGATCGTTTCGCTTGATAAGACCCTTATCTATCGTCTTGTGTCGTTTAAAGCCCTTTGAAGCTGCATTGAAACTCTCATTTGGACCTTGAACCGTTTGGTTCCCATTGAAGTCCATTATATGGAGAAAATCCTGGAATGTTTTCATCAAAAAGCTTAATTTCTCTTCGACTGAAGAATGAAAGACGTGGACATCTTGGATGACATGGGGGTGAGTAAATTATCAGCAAAAGTTTTTTTTAAAAGTGAACTAACCCTTTAAGGCGAGACACGGCAGGCAAAAACGTTGTTTGTTTGTTTTTTTTCACTGGTCAATTTTGAGATTTTGGGATATTTGTCTTCAATAACATGTCTTCTTTCAGACTTGTGGTGAAAAAAAGTCCGAAATACACATTTAGGTCTTTATTTTACTACACTTTGTCTGTAGATTTCTCATAAATTCTTCAAAAGTTGCCGTTATAAATCCTCCTTCTGCTCAGCGATCGCGATCTCCACCCTGTCATCACACACACAGTTAGAAAGCTCTCTTTCTCCGGATCCAAATATGGTCATTTCCTTTTTATCAGCAACCAATCGTGAAAGTAAAAGGGGGGGTTTAACTCTAAATTTAACTCGCGATCTCATTGGCTGATGCTAAAGTTTTCTCAAAATGACTTTTCTCTCATACTCCAAGTCCGAAATCTCCACTTCAGTAGCACCTATATACACCAAACTTTCCAGTCTTGTACAGAGTTATATTATGAAGACATTTACAGAGGGATATTTGTAAATATATTATTCTTAGCCTGATTTATAGAACATTTTATTCCAAAAACATGGTGAAAATATTTTTTTTAAGGCAATTGGCAGTATATTCTGATTTACAGGACAACAAAAGTAGAGATCCATAAATCCCTCTGTAATTTTTTTTCTCATCTAATATGTGAACACAATCAAAAAATAATTTTGGCTTTAATTTTGGCTTCATCCAATATTCGGATTTCATTTTTTTAAATATATGCAAATTAGTGCATATTTAATTAGATAATGCCTCATTTGCATATTTAAACATAAAAAATATATTACAAGTTTTCTGTATTTTAATCATCTTAATGTAGGTAATCAACTGGGAAAGTTTCATGGTGATATCTGCTAGTTAAAAAAATACCCTATTCACCTGTAGTGTCTCGCGTTAATTGTAATAATCCAGTGAGATTTGTGTATGCTGATTGTAACCCCTCCACCCGGGTCATACTCGACCTGCTCTGAGCTGGCCTCCGGTATGAGAGTCAGGCGCTCTAACAAGGAGGCTAAAAGCAATCTCCAAAAACACTTTTCAGGAAATGGAAAAGCACCTTTTTTTAAAAAAGAAAATACCCCCAAACGCTATGGCACATACTGTACAGTGTGTACTACACTAGAAGTACTTACCTCAAACTCTAGATATTCCTCTCTCAGTCGGTACTCCTCAAGTTCACGACCTTTCACCTTTCGGTCAGGCGGATAAGAGCGCAGTTGTACGAGCTCGGTGGAGATGGAGCGAAATCGTGTTTCATGAGCCTGTACCTGCTCCTCCTACACACACACACACACACACACACACACACACACACACTTTATAATACTGCAGCTTATATAAACAAATATACAAGCACATCTCTATTCCAACACCTAGTGAGCTACAGCCTACATCACACAAATAGGTAAAATAATTATTATTATGATGATTAAATGATTAAAATGTTAATTATTAATTAACAATAGTTAAAAAATAATTAAAAATAATAATTAACAATAGTTAAAAAAATGATGATTAAAATAAATAATTATTATGTATTGTTTGTTTTATTCAATAATTATATAATATTTATAAAATTATTATTCATATTTGTTGTATATTCTTATTACCATATATTTAATATTTATACTCATTTGTTAAATGCATTAGTTAACAAGAACCAACTGTGAACAATGTATTTTTACAGCATTTATTAACCTTTGTTAATGTTAGTTCGTATAAATACAATTCTTCGTTGTTTGTTCACGGTGCATTAACTAATGTTTAAAAAAAAATGTAACTATTTTAAAGACTTAAATTTGATAAGAATGTATGACATGTATGACAATATTTATGCTATTTTGATCATTTGACCTGTGATAGTTTGGAGGCGGAGCCTGGCAGCAGCGGTCGACTAAACTTCTTCTGTGAGCCAATGGCAGCAGGAAGGGGCGGGGCTGAAAACATGGCCGCCACTGTGTTGATGCGTGTGATCCAAGACTGCATTTGTTCAGCATTCCTTCACAGACAAATCAAATAACTTTTTAATAAAAAGTCTTTAACAAAGTGTGGTTTCATCATTATCTCAAGCAGTAACATTTGAAGACAGACCAAGAGTGAGCTCTACAGAAACAGTGTGATGAACATATTCTAAAAAACAAAACGTGTTTAATTATCCTAGTGAAGAAAACCATGAGCTATAATCCTGAAGACGGTGGAAAGGCAGTAAAAAAGTAGTGTTTATGTGTGTATAAGTGCAAACATGTACCCACAAAAAAGTGGATTTTCCAGCACAAGCAATGAGAGCTGAAACTGGGGCAAACTTCAACTAGAGCAGAGCGAGTTCTCCTGGGGAACGGGAATGTGTGTGAACACACACACAAAAGGCAGAAACCCAGCCGACGGGACTACATGGGTGTTTTGTCATAAATTGGATTGAAAAGATGCCAAAAGCGGAGCCTCGTGCTGTACAGATGATTTATTCCAGTTAAAGATTACTCTTTCTGCTTTTTGTTTATAAGCATATTCCCATAGATGCTGAAGTGATTTTCACAATTGTGTGACACAGATTTGTACATCTGAATGCTCATTAATCTCCTGAGATCATTTTGCAATGCTGTGTCACAATATATTTCCAGTTAAACAGTATATTGAACTGAAAAATCATAAAAACGTAGGACGGGACTTGACTTTATCTGTTGGGAATTTACTGTGATGTCTCTGGATGAGAGGAGGTTGGCAAGGAGCAGATGGAAAATTGTTTTAGAAGTGGAGTTATTACATTCTGATGATTATGGGACATTTCCTAAACAAGTTTGCAGGTCTTTGAACTCACGGCGCCTGAAAGAGGTAGACTCTCCAGTCAGCGGTCCGGAGGTAAAACACGTTTGGCCGTTTGCTGTAGTCTGTGGCTCGGATGGCCAAGGAATGGTGAATCGACACAGCATTCTTCAAATCCTCATCGGAAAGCTGTTTATCCGGCCGATACTCGCCCTGGAAAAACAATTATCCCGTAATTAATTCAATACATGCATCAGAGATGACCTCATAGTACACTCTCGTAATCATTACTGATTTATTGATCATGTTGTCATTCTATTCATTACGTGTGTATTGCCATCAAACTGTGTATATCTGGGAAGATGCAACAGCTGTTGGGTTTATATAAAGGCAAACAAATATGATTAAATATTGACTAAATATTGGCAAAAGTGCTGTTATTTAATATACTGATGAGTTATCATTAAACTGTATAATGAACAAATCAATAAAACTAAATAAATAAAGAAATAGATATTTAATATTTAAATATTTAAAACATGTCATTAAATGTAATAATAAGAATTAAAAAAAACAATTAAATGTAAAAAATACATTCATTTATTTTATACAATTGTATTGAAAAAATATTTATGTAAAATTAAAAAAGAACGTGAAGGAAGGACGGGAGGAAAAAAGGAAGGATGTGAAGAAGGAAGAACAGGAGGAAGGAAGGCAGGAAGGAAGGAAGGAAGGATGAAAGAAAGGAAGGAAGAACAGGAAGAAAGAAAAAAGCAAGGAAGGAAGGAGGAGGAAATAAGGAAGGAAAGAAGAAAGGAAGGAAGGAAATAAAGGATGAAAGGAAGGAGGAAGGAAGGAAAGAAGGGAGGAAGGAAAGGAGGGAGGAGGGAAGGGAGGAAAGAAGGAAGGAAAGGATGAAGATAGGAAGGAAAGAAGGAAGGAAGGGGGGGAGGGAGGAAGGGAGAAAGGAAAGAAAGAAGGAAGGAAAGGATGAAGGAAGGAAGGAAAGGAAATGAAGGAAGGATGAAAGGGAGAAAAGAATAATGAAAGGAAGGAGGAAGGAAAGGAAGAAGAAAGGAAGGAAGGAAGGAAGGAAGGAAGGAGGAGGAAGGAGGGAGGTAAGAAGGAAGGAAGGAAAGAAGGAAGGAAAGGATGAAGAAGGAAGGAAGGAAGGAAGGAGCGAGGAGGAAGGAGGAAGGGAAGGAAGGAAAGAAAGAAGGAAGGAAAGGATGAAGGAAGGAAGGAAGGAAGGGAGCGAGGAGGGAAGGGAGGGAAGAAGGAAGGAAGGAAAGAAAGAAGGAAGGAAAGGATGAAGGAAGGAAGGAAAGGAAATGAAGGAAGGATGAAAGGGAGAAAAGAAAGGAGAAAGGAAGGAAGGAAGGAAGGAAAGGAAGAAGAAAGGAAGGAAGGAAGGAAGGAAGGAAGGAAGGAAGGAAGGAGCGAAGGGAGGAGGTAAGAAGGAAGGAAAGGATGAAGAAAGGAAGGAAGGAAGGAAGGGAGCGAGGAGGGAAGGGAGGGAAGAAGGAAGGAAGGAAAGAAAGAAGGAAGGAAAGGATGAAGGAAGGAAGGAAAGGAAATTAAGGAAGAAAAGGAGGACGGAAGGAAAGGAGGAAGGAGGGAAGGAAGGAACGAACAAAGGACGTTAGGAATGAGGGAAGGAAGGGAGCGAGATAGAAACTCACCTTCTGCAGGTAAAGGATGAGTCCCTTAAGAACAGCATAAAATGTTTTCCATCCTCTTTTCCCACGAGGTGCTGCATTTCACATGAAAAATGAACAGAAAATGTAAACAGATTTTTACTATGCAGGTAAATGGACTAAACATATCAATACATTGTGAAGATTCAAAATCTCTTCATTTAATGTTGTTTTTAGTACTATTATTATTTTTATTAATATTCATAATATGTATCTGTTTTATTACATGTATACACACATTATTATTTGTAATCTTTGCATTTTGTGATTATAATGTTTTGAAGATGTAGGAGAGAGAGAGCCTTTAGGAGACTTTGGGATAAGTTAAACTGTATGAGAGAATGTATGTTGGAGTGAGACTGAAAGTTTATGTAGTGTATAGTTTCCATCGGGGATGGATATACATTCCATAGTTAATGGAAACATATGTTCTTGTGGTCATAGGTATGTGTTACTATGGTGATGCAGTTTTTTCTTGGTCAGTGGTATAAAGGCTGAGACCCTTTGTTCAAAAAGTAGGAAGAGATGGTAACGATGCAGAATGAAGACCTCTGTTTCTCTTCCTCCTATGTCTTATAAATATTATAAATAAATTCGAGAGATCTCTTGGCAAAATCACTGGTGTCTCTTTTCATGGGGAAAGCAAAAGAAGTTTTTTTTTAGATCTACAATTGGTGTTGACTAAAGCGTTTTTGATTGAAACCCACTACAACTGCATTTCTAAAACATAAATAAAACATTGTTGCTGGCAGATGTTTTTACACCTCAGAGGAACTAATATTATTAGCACTTTGTGGCATTGTATGCAACTCTAAAATAATATCAAACTATGTAAACGCATACATTGTACATTTCAGAATCAGATAAAGGTTCTAAATCTCTTACATACTGGACGTAAAATATTATAGCATAACAAAAATGGGTTTGATTTTATTTTAAGGAGACATATTTACATTGTTAGGGTTTGTAATTTGTAATTATGAATAATTTACTGTTATTACTATATTAAATATGCTATAACGTGTAAATACGTCACCTTAAAATAAAGTGTAAACTTTAAAGATACTATTTAAAAAGATAATCAGAAATAACCAAAATAAAAAAAAAAAAAGAGTAAAAAAGTACTTCTGCTTATGTCCTAAATTTGTTTCATGACTTACAGTAAGGTATGTGTAATAATGTAGGAATGTTGCGTCCTCTTTACCACTCACTTCTCTTTCCATCACAGTCAGCGTGGACCTTCCTCACCAAGAAACCCGTTTTATAGAGAAGTGAACCAGATGGAGAAACTAAACCACTGCCCGTCCGCTTCATTCCTCTGGAGTTTGACTCGTCTCGATGCTCTCCCAGCTCCGAAAACGACTTGCGTAACTCTTCTTCATCGCTGAGGGAAGAAACAAATAAAACTAAATAAAGTACTGACCAGCAGGAAGAGCAAAAAAGAGGAATATGAAACAATGAACTCATTAAGTATAGTACCATGGAAAAATTAAACAGCTGTTGGGTTCAAATTTAGGTAAAAATTAACTCACTCACCTAAAGGATTATTAGGAACACCATACTAATACTGTGTTTGACCCCCTTTCACCTTCAGAACTGCCTTAATTCTATGTGGCATTGATTCAACAAGGTGCTGAAAGCATTCTTCAGAAATGTTGGCCCATATTGATAGGATAGCATCTTGCAGTTGATGGAGATTTGTGGGATGCACATCCAGGGCACGAAGCTCCCGTTCCACCACATCCCAAAGATGCTCTATTGGGTTGAGATCTGGTGACTGTGGCGGCCATTTTAGTACAGTCAACTCATTGACATGTTCAAGAAACCAATTTGAAATGATTCCAGCTTTGTGACATGTTGGAAGTAGCCATCATAGGATGGGGACATGGTGGCCATAAAGGGATGGACAAACAATGCTCAGGTAGACCGTGGCATTTAAACAATGCCCAAATTGGCACTAAGGGGCCTAAAGTGTGCCAAGAAAACATCCCCCACACCATTACACCACCACCACCAGCCTGCACAGTGGTAACAAGGCATGATGGACCCATGTTCTCATTCTGTTTACGCCAAATTCTGACTCTACCATCTGAAATCGAGACTCATCAGACCAGGCAACATTTTTCCAGTCTTCAACTGTCCAATTTTGGTGAGCTCTTGCCAATTGTCGCCTCTTTTTTCCTATTTGTAGTGGAGATGAGTGGTACCCGGTGGGGTCTTCTGCTGTTGTAGCCCATACGCCTCAAGGTTGTGTGTGTTGTGTCTTCACAAATGCTTTGCTGCATACCTCGGTTGTAACGAGTGGTTATTTCAGTCAAAGTTGCTCTTCTATCAGCTTGAATCAGTCGGCCCATTCTCCTCTGACCTCTCGCATCAACAAGGCATTTTGGCCCACAGGACTGACCCATACTGGATGTTTTCCCCTTTTCACTCCATTCTTTGTAAACCCTAGAAATGGTTGTGTGTGAAAATCCCAGTAACTGAGCAGATTGGGAAACACTCAGACACCAACAACCATGCCACGCTCAAAATTGCTTAAATCACCTTTCTTTCCCATTCTGACATTCAGTTTGGAGTTCAGGAGATTGTCTTGACCAGGAATGCATTGAAGCAACTGCCATGTGATTGGTTGATTAGATAATTGCATTAATGAGAAATTGAATTTCCTAATAATCCTTTAGGTGAGTGTATAAATAAAAAGCAATGTAAACATGAAGACAGGGAATACATTTATTTAACATTTTTCATTATAATTTTTTATTTCTGAAATAATAAACTAATGCCTATTTATAAAACTCATAAAATACCAAAACTAAAAATACACCTTGAAAATGTAGCAGATAAATGATTAAATAATTGAATGCATCATGAAATTTTGCAATCAATAACACGACTTGCGCAACTCTTCTTCATTGCCGAGGGAAGAAACAAAATAAAAGAAAAGAAAGTACTGACATGACCAGGAGGAAGTGCATAAAAGAGGAATACAAAATAAAGTGATCTCACACATAATCTGTGTTCGTGATAATCATGGTGTTATTTTTTAGTGCCATGGAATTATTACACAAACAGGAATTAAATTGAAACACCTCTTATTTTCCTTTTAGTTTCTATTAATATTGCTTATTACAGGAACATACCCCGGACACGAACACTAAACATTCAGCACATCATTTGTCTCTCAGACAATCTGACCACAAACGAGAGCTTTGAATGTTTTTAGGAAAAGCACATCTAGCGTTCTTGATCCTGCAGTAACTATGGAAAGAAATCCAGTTTAAAATGGTGTTTAGAGACTATGGGAGTTTGGATCAGACTCGCTGTGATATTTCGGGCCCGTCCTGCTGTGTATCCCGCATCGAGTGAATGAAAGTCTTTCCCCCGACAGTTTCCCCTCTCCACCTCACTCCCCAGAGAGACAGACAGTATAGATCGAGTGAGTGTTGAAGTAAAGCGCTCTTCCCAGCGGGATTCTCCTCACATCTGAAACCAGAGGACTGATGCTTCACTGCAGAAATCACATCAAAGAAAGGCTTGATCCTACAGGACAAACAATTACTGTACGCCACTGTGAGCCGAGGTTAAACGCACTGGTGTCTTAAAGCCCTCATACCATCAAAATCTCATTTATTTTTGAAAATTGAAGTGTTCAATATACCATTTAGACAAAGTGCCCCTATTATGCTATTTTAAGGGTGCTTTCACACCTGGATCGATTAGATTTGTTCCGAAACAGAATACTTTGTTCCGAATCAATTTAATACGTCACTCTGTTCACACCACACTGTTGTAAAGCGTTCCAAACCGCGCACCCTTCCACCCTTACGCCATTACGTCACTACCTCATGCGTGAAGGTCGCGCATTCCATTGTGGGACATCGTCATGACAACAGTAGCCTTTAACACCAGTGTTGGGTAAGTTACTCTAAAAAAGTAATTAATTACTAGTTACTAATTACCTCTTCGACAGTGTAATTAGATTACTGTACTAATTACTCTCTCCAAAAAGTATTTAATTACTTTTAATTACTAATTACTTTCAAAATCCCGTATCAATCTCAACCAGCTGAATAATACAAGGATAGACATGAATCTGTTTTAATTCTTTCAAATAAATACTATAAAATTACAATTATTCTTAAACTTCAAAGGTGGAGAAGGTTACATTATAAAAACATACTTTTTAACATCAGACAATACATTTTGATGTTAAACCCACTATTGTTTTCTGTCTGATCTCATGACATTTCACACTTTTTTTTCATAAATATTTTACAATATTCATACGAATTTGTACAGGTCGTACAATTTAGACGCCTCATAAAATGCATACGAATCGCTGTGAGATCGGATTGATCTATACACACAGTATTTACCTCAATTACATCAGAAGTAACTGTAATTAAATTACAGATAAATGAAGAGTAATCCCTTACTTTTCAAGAGAAAAGTATTTAAATTACAGTAACTAATTACTTAGTAATTAGTTACACCCAACACTGCCTAACACAAAATGAATCGCGGGTTGACTTGGTGCTACGAAGAGATGAAATGCCTCATAGATATTTGGTTAACTCCAGAGTGACTCCTAATCCTTTCGAAGAGCATGTAAAGTAGATTCCAAGTACTGAAAACATTTAGACAACATGAACCAACCTTTTCAGCTACAACTATAGTGTTTGAGGGCGAAGCAAAGTAGACGTTTGCAGACCACAGGCTGACAATATGCAAATTTGTAACATTGTTACATAGGTATGTTATGGAAGTGAGACTGGAATATATGGAGAAAATAACTATTTGTCATGCACTGACCTTTAAAACTTTGCAGAGCTTTTACATTCACAAACAGCTGCATTACTACACACCGCATGAATTTAAAGGTAATGTTCAAAAAAAGAGACACTTTAACATCACATTACCAATCATGAGCATATTTAACTCAACATGATTCTAGGGATGCACCGATCCGATACTCTGTCGGTATCGGCTCCGATACTGCCGTTTTTGATGATCAGTTCAACACACAGAGTTATAAAAAAAATCGACTTGATTTTTAAAAAACGGATCGGTATCGGTCGATACTCAGAATTTTTGGTATTGGATCGGATCAATTCGGGAAAAAGATGGTATTGGTGCATCCCTACATGATTCCGTTTGCTTTCTGCACATTTCTTATATCTTAGATCGAACAATTCATGAATGCATTTTATTCCAAGTAAATTTTTTTTTTTTTTTACTTTACTCCGCCTCCAAAACAAAAAAATCCTTTTGGGGTGATATCACAAATCCCTCTTACTTTGTTCATCCTCCATTCCCCAAGTAATGTCTATTGTTCCCAATTCCAGGCAGTTCTTATGGGAAAGAAACCCCAGCCTAGCTCCCCTCCCCCATAAAACATCCTTTTTCATTTGGAAATAAAACATATTACACAAGTAAAACAGGCTACGAATGCCATGTTGATTTTTAACACATGACCGCCTACGTTTACATATCAACGCCTATTTGGTGATGCATGATGAATGCCAGAACAGCCAAATCAAAACAGATGTCATTTACATATAGAAGTCTTAAAGGAACAGATGCAAAAACAGATGGAAGTAACCATGAAAAATTAAGCAAGATACTTTGACCAACATTTCAGCACGTTATTACATTTACTGAAAATTACACAAAAACTAAAGCTATTAAAACATTTGTTTCTTGAAATAAAATAAATTATTTTTATATATATTAGTGTTTGTTGTTTGAAAATATATACAGTATATACTGTATATAATTCATTAATTTAAAGAAAATTAAAAAAAAAACTAATAAAAAAAATGACAAAAATATATGAACACAAACATGGAAAATATAGAATAAAAAATAAATTAATATGAAGAGTTCAGATGCAAAAGCCTCTAAATGCCATTTGAAAATTTCTTCTTTAATGATGATTTTTATCAAACTTGTATATTTAAGTTCAGTAATTTCACTTAAATAACAATTTATAGGTAATCATCATTGCCATTTAGGTGAGATTACTGAACTTAAATATACAAGTTTGATAAAAAATCATCATTAAAGAAGAAAATTTCAAATGGCATTTAGAGGCTTTTGCATCTGAACTCTTCATATATATATATTAATGATGCCTCAGAGAAAAAAATAAGCGACTAAATAATAATTAAAATAAAATTAGTGAGTACACTCTATAAAATGCTGGGTTGCTTTAACCCAATTTTGGGTAAAATATGGACAAACGCAGCCATTGGGTTACATTTTTAAATTACATTACATTTTTAAATTACATTTTCAACCCAATGGCTGGGTTTGTCCATATTTTATCCAAAATTGGGTTAAAACAACCCAGCATTTTTTAGAGTGTAGAGTTGGAATGTATGC